GCGATTCTTACGTAAGCAATTACAGACGATTTAATTGATCAAATTAAGATCTGTAAAAGTCAGAAGAATCGTAATGAAATGAATTATATCTTAATAAAATTAAAATCATACGAATTATCACTAAATGAAGCGTAAAGTAAGTTGAAAGCAAGAAAACAGAGTTCCGACGTCACGGTGGTGATGCGTCGGCGATGCACCGAAATCTTAAGTGTTCGGGAGGATAGTCGTGTAGTGTCCACGGCCTCGAAGTCTCTCCTTGGACAAGGACAATGTGGGCAATCTCTAGATCTCCTTGCGAAGTCTAGAGATCAATGAAATGGGTCGTCGAATCGTCTCCGGCGGCTGTCACCCGGCGGAGCGGAAAAACGGCGACTTTGCAGCTCTCCAATGGCTGTCACCTGACGGAGAGGAGCTGGATGGAGGTGGGCCGTGTGTTAAGGAGCTTCATCCTTAGGTCCGCGCAGCAAGAGGAGGCTCTTCATTGCATATGGTACGCTCTCAAGAGGTGACGACTCGTCTCCCGGTAGATCGTCCTCTTCCCGATGACGGCTTGTTCGTCGATCAATCGGAGAAGCTTTACTTGATGGATTTGCAATCCTTTTATCGTGAATCGTTCAGTAATTTTAGTAACAATACTCCATGAATTGTGTTGACGAGATTTCACCGATGATTCAACGATTTTGGTTATTTAATCCTTCACCGGCGATCTGCAGGAAAGTCGCGAGAATCAGATAAAAAATATGAGTTTTGGCTCTGAGAAGATTCGAACCCACGCTAGTTGCCCGCCCCTTCTAGGGGAGGTGACGCAGGTTTAGTCCCACATCGGTTGTGCGCCGAATTTTCGGGCGAATACATAGTAATATTAGATCTCTAGGCAAGTCCCTTTATCGCGCGTGTACGACCACTACTTGCCCCACAGTCGGCTAGCCACCAGTGACGTGGAAGAGGAGTGGCGCACACGTGCCCTATCGATCCAAGCCGCTCGAGCCCCTGCTCACGACTCCTCCCTGACTGCGCTTCCGACCCGCTTGCGGGACCGGCTGGCCGGCAAGTCCCCTCATTTTGTAATATTTTTATTTTTATTTCTTGTTCTTCATTTATCTCAAAAGTAAGACTATAAAAATCATATAAATTTGTATAAAATCACATAATTACTCAAAAATTTACGTTAATCAACTAAAAACCACTTTTCACACTTTAACATAAATATAAGTCTATTTATCATGAGTTAAGGCTAAAAATATATTATTTACGAATTATTAACTCATGATAATGAAGATTTATCAGGATACTATTTCAAATCTCAAATATTTACTCTTTCAATCCAATACCTCTCAACTCCTTAGGCAACAATTAGAGCACAAAAATAACATTTTACAGCTATGATAACTTCAATCTAAATTATTTGTTTATATATCTTAATATATGATATGATAAAATCTTCTTCTTGCATTTGTGGTGTCTTTGGGTGAAAAGCCCACAACTATGGTGTATGTGGTGGTCTAAAAAGTACATATGGTGCACTTGGTCAGTCGACGAGTGTTTATGATATGTTTGGTTAGTCAATACAGCTCTTGTGGTGAACTCAAGTCCTCCTCAACACGTGATGTGTTGAATAACATGTTCCTCCTCATTGGTGTTGTAAATCAAAATGTCATCAACATAAATATCAGTAAATTTCCTATTAAAATATTTTAAAATATAATTCATCATATTCATAAATATACTTAATAATATTAAATAACTCAGATGACATAACAAGCCATTTGTACAAAATTTTCATCATTTTAAAATTAATCTTTCCTTCATCTACAAGTTAAATTCTAATATAGTGATATCCTCTCATTAAATCAACCTTTAAGAAAACTTTCAATACACAAAACATATTTAATATGTCATCAAGACATGGAATGAGAAATCTATAATTAATCCTAATGTTTTTTAATGGTACGAATTTCCACACATTTTCACTAACTTACATCTTTTTTAGGCACTTGTAGAGTAGGTACTGAATATGACGCTCACGTTTTCTCTAAGTAATCTTTTTTTCAGTAACTCTTCAATCTGTTATTGTATAATTCAAATTTATTATGGACTCATTTGATGATGGGGTAGGTTAAACAAACTGACTTTAAGAATAAAATCAATATGATGTTGAATATATGCATATTTTTCATAAAAAAATAAATAGAAGTGTTTCAATAGGTTTGAAATATTTAATCCAATTTATATTACGAATCCAACTTTCTAACAATAGCAAATCATTTTGATCAATTAACATTATCCTTCTTCTTTTGTGTATCTCATTTATTGAAATAATTGTTTTGCATAGAGCTTAACACAAATTTCTTCACATATTTGTAGAAAAGCATAGACATTATCTATGCTATGGTGTGACATCAACATCTCACGATCATGGTCAATGAAAAATGATGTGACATCCATCAATTTAATAACATCATATTAGACATCTTCAATATGTTTTCCAATTAAACTTTTGTTTTTATATCTTTCTTAATCTAACCAATATGGTATAGATGTTGATGTGCCCCCATTTTTAACCCCAACTTTTGAATCATGCATTGAAAAATAATATTTTTTTTACTATCACTATCAATTATGACTCATTGTGCACCTTGTTCTAAAAATATTGTGTCATTGTGAATCTTATTCTTTCTCAAGTGTATATATCACTCTTTTTACTATTAATGAATGTGAGAGCATGTATTCATTGTCAAATTCAATCAAAAATTCCTTCTACTTTACTTTACATTCAAGTTTCACATTTTTTTCATATTCTCAAATAAAACTTATAAAATTCAAAAAATCATGTTGTTTACAAATATTAGATGGATATCTTTTTTTACCATACTTGTAAATCTTTAGAGTGATATTAGAATAAAAGAGTTTTTTATTGAAGACTCTAGACCAATAAATACTAAACTTGGTCTTACTGGTGTTCCTCATCTAGTGGTCAAAGCAGATATAAATTCGAATTTTGATTACTAGAGTTTAGAGGTCATGCTTGTCCATTATCTACTAATGACCTTATACATTCTAAAGCCACTACCACATCACCTAGTTTGAAAAACAACCATAAGTTTACATTTTCTTCAATGACTCATCTGAGATCACTTTTGAATCTCGAAATTATATATGATTTGAATTAAATTAAATCAACTTATAAAAATAAATAGTAAAACTCTTCAATATATTGATAGATATTTTTATTTACTTATGTATAATTATCATATTGTTGATATGAAATTTGCTCATAATGAAGAGGAAGATAAAAAAAATATTTTTTCTTCATTTCTTTTTCACACATGGTCTTTGTGTAACCTTATACATGTGAGCAACAATTGTTCCCATCATGTAGAAGTGTCACCCTTCAATTTATAAGTTAATCACTTGATTTATTTTCTTTTAATATTTCAAAACATTTTAAAAATCAATTCCACTTAGGCCAACTAATCTAAAAACTCTATGATTCATAAATCAGCATTAAAACATGGTAAATTAATTTTCATATGAAATTCTTTAAAATCATCATCTTCATATCTACTTCTAGAACTCCTAGAAATAAATGTAAAAAGATTTTATATAGTAGTATCATGAAGACAACATTTTAAGTACTCTTGAAACCAAGATCTATCTATGGATATAATACAATCATTCATGTCAAAATTTACTTCATAGTTTCATTGACTTCCTCAAATTTTCAATCTATTCATTCTTAGAATTGAATAAAATATGATTGTGATAAAGGGCATACTTCAAGAGCATCATCATCATTTATTTGAAGTCATTTATTTCTGAGACATCTTCAAAAACAAATTTGAAACATAAAACTTGACTCTAGACCAATTGGTATAGTGTTGCCATGTTGCTGCACAAGATGACAAGATTCTAACTTAAATACATAAACTCAAATCTTAGAGAAAAAATAAAATCATAAATATATAGACATAGAGCCTTTAACTTGTGGATCTACAATAAAAAAGAATTATTTGAATCCAAAAAATAAAAGAAAAAGATAACCTCATATAAGAGAATTCAAAATATTACCATTGAATGCTCTAAGATTATACAATAAGGCCTTTATAGAGGCATAGGCAAGAGGTGGGACGTCCCCAATAGACTCTAAAAAAGTAAAATAAACTCTAAAATAAAAAATATTCTAAAATAACATAAATAAAAACTAAAAGCTAAAAAATAATAAAGCAAACTATGGACGACTAGACTAAGCTTGAACCGATCTTCTACTTTATTGAGACCCAATAAGCTTGTTAGGCCACCTTTGTATGTTCTCCTCTTTATAACTAAATACTATGCATTTTGGGCTCAATCTTTATATTATGGGCATTGTAAGCCGTATCATCTCTTATCCGGTGGCTCCCATGGAGGTGCTAAGCTTGCCAATTGTCGTAGAAAGAAGATAAGAAGATGAAGTTTGAATCTTTCTTTCTATACCCTCTTTAAGTGTTTAATGACATCTATATCAGTCTAAAAATGAAATTGGATAACCCAACCAAACTCACACCCCACCTTAGGGAGACCATTACAAGTTTCTCAAATTAGAAGGACATCATGCTAAATGTCAGCTTTCCACGAACCCCCCCTCCTCCGGTGGACGACTGACTTCGATATTGGTGGTGGATTATAGACTTTTTTTCCTTATGCACCTCTCTAAGCGTTTAATGACATCTTTACCAAGTAAGAATGAAATTGGATAACCAGCCAAACTCATGGTTCTGAGGGGTGATCATTAAATTTTATAAAGTTGGGAGTTTTCCGCAAACCTCTCCCTCCTCTATGCGATGGACTGACTGGACTGACTACCTTGACCTCGCAGCCAGCGAGAAGCCACTCCTTCTCATCGGCACGCCCTTTCTCCCTGGAGGAGAAACCCTACCACAACCCTGGTAGCAGGTCACCGTCCAATTCCCTCGTCTACGACGGCTGAGGAGGTCGGGAAAGGGAAGGGAAGGCAGAGATCCATGGGATCTCTCAACCTCCCTGGGATCCTATACATCGCGGTAGCTTCCGTTTGCCTCCTTTGCCCTCTCGCGGTTGCGGCGCCGAAACCATTCCGTCGGGACCCGGGGCACCCCCACTGGCATCATGGCGCCTTCCACGATGTCCAGGACACGATCCGTGCCGACGTCCGCCGCATGCTCCACTCCCGCGCCGAGGTGAGCTCTGTTCTTCCATGCCTGCGTCGTAGATTGCTGCTCGTATTTCTTGTTTTGCCTGTGAAATATGGCGCATTCGCGTTGAGATTGGAACCTGGAAGTGGAAGTTTTTTCTCGTGCTCCTTGGGAAACTGGTTTCTAGAACAAATGTTTCAGCCCTTTGCCGCTCTGGTTTAGTTGCCTGGCTTGTAGCTGTACCGATTGATCTTCTTGATTGAAGATTGCGTTTGTGCTTGTCCTGTTTCTGTGCAGGTGCCGTTTGAGGTCCCTCTTGAGGTTAATGTTGTCCTTGTCGGATTTAGCGATGATGCCGGCTATCGATACGCCTTAGATGCCCACAAGCTGGAGGAGTTCCTCAAGGCCAGCTTCCCTACACACCGCCCATCGTGCCTCGAGACAGGCGAACCGATTGACATCGAGCATCACATAGTCTATAATGTGATACCTGTAAGTGTTCAATTCTTAGAAGGCCGGACCAGGACTTTTGTTCCAACTAAAATTAAAATACATTTCATAGATTATCGTGGTCAGCAAACGCTTAGTTCTGCATGCCATTTTAGGGATGTTTCGAGGCGAGTAGGCCTTTTGAAACAACATAAGTGACTGCGTATCAGCGTTTGTGCTGCCGAACTGGCATGCCATCTCTTCAGCAAATATTATATTTGTCATGGAGACATGAACTTTTAATTTCTATGAAGAAGCCGACTTTGTGGTTTCCGCGTTTTTTCCTTCTTCCTATGTCTTCTGTAATACCTGATTGTTATTTCCTTCTGTGTTCTTGACAGGTTGGGCAACCAGAATTAATAGCCACTGAGAAAATACTGAAAGAAGCTATGAAACCCAATGGCACTGCGAGAGAGGTAACTATTTTCCAATCGGTCTGTTTATCTTCTTTCCATGGATGCCACACATCCATCATGGGCATTTTTGAAGACTCAATAACAGGTTCACATTTATTTAGAGTGAATATGGTAGGGAGCTTCCTCTTTTTGAAGTGGATGCTGTCAATGTGGAGCCAGCGTTCCAGATGTTGTATTCGTATTTATTTGATGTGGAAAATAGTGGATACACTGCAACAGATATAGACAAGCCCAAGCCTACTGCAATTTTTATTGTGAATTTTGATAAGGTAAAGTTAAAATATAACATAGAGTGCTTTCCTTTTTGCTCATTTAATACTCTTGCTGAGATGTAACTTCTACACCAACAGTACAGTTTACTTGTCTTTTATTTTTGTACCCAATTATAGCATTTCTTCTGTTTTATCTTGTAGGTCAGGATGGACCCCAGGAAGACGGAAATCGATCTGGATACTCTAATGTATGCTGAAATCAAAGGACTTTCAGAAGAAGAGTTGAAGCAACAAGAAGGAGGGTACATTTACCAGTACCGTTATAATGGAGGAGGTGCCTCACAAGTTTGGCTGAGCTCTTGGAGGTAATATTAAAGTGGATTATCTGCAACAAACTATAGTCAATTGAATGTGCTTGGTGCTAGTTTTTTAGTCATTGTTAGAAATACTGGGCAATACTGGGCATTCCATTATCCCTGTAAGGTGCGTAAAAAACTACCTATGTTCTTCCTGTTTGGCAGAGGTGAAGCAGATTGTAGCTACTTCATTCTTTAGTATCCCCTGGATACTTCTGCCTTATATAAAGCAATTTTTCGAGACAATGGCCTTCTAACTGCTGAAGTTTTACTAAATTATCGTTGGAGTAAACTAGATGATGCTTACTGCACTTTGGAACAGTTAGTGGGAATATACTCGCTAAGAAGCGTTCTACACTAGAAATATTTGCACTTTGGCACAGTTAGTGGGAATAGTTAAACCAGCATTTTGTTTGGTTTTTATTTTCCCGGGTAAAAAGATAATCACATAAGACTTCAACGGTATTCTGGTTAACTCGTATATTCAGGAATTGGATCAATGTCTATCAGACTGCTTCCATCTGATAACCCCAGTTGGGTGATTCTCAGGCAGTTTCTCTATAAAGCAGTGTTGAAAATGGAAAATGCGCCGAAAAAATAGTATATATATAGCCTATACACCTAAGCAATACAGAGCTTGAAATTTTCCCATAAGCTCTATGCACAATGACAGCGTATTAGGAGAGATGTAACTGCTTCTTCGGCATATGATGCTGGGTCAGCACATCATCCTACAGAAATTATTGGTCTAAAATTTCGAAATTATAGTCTCATGATGCTGTAGATCTATATTTCTATTAATGAATTAAGTTCCTTTCATTACTGTATTTTATCCGAATAATGTTTGTGATTCTCGATATATGTCATTTGCAGTATACTAGTGCGGGACTTTCATGTATTTCTTTTTAGTGACACTAACCCGAAGTTTTTGAATTCCTCTGGCGAACGTTGGTCTCACTTGTTGTTATGTACTACTATGATTTTTTAGCTCATTTTGCATCTGGTTTTGTTTCTGGCCTAGATATTTTGGACATTGTTTGTCTTTTTAAATTTCAGGCGTTCTTGAACTAATGATTTTGTATGATGTGCAGATTTGTTGTGATTGACCTCTCAGCAGGCCCCTGCGTTTATGGTAAAATAGAATCTGAAGAAGGAAGTGTTAGTTACCGGACACTTCCACGGTTAGCAAACCTGATCTCCCCAAGAGGTTCACTTGTTCCTAAAATTAGTTCAACATATGATACTTTTATGGGGCAACTCGGAGCACTGATTTCTACTACCATTGAGTATGTCATAGCACCAGATGTTAGGTAACGCCTTTAGTGCATCTGTTCAAGCAAATTAAATCAGTCATTCTTTGTCTTTTTTTCCCCTAGTTTTTACGTGAATTAATTTAGTATCTTATGCTCTGGATTTTTACCTTTCCTTTAATTCTGTTTCAGGTTTGAGATCGTGGACTTGACAACGAGGTTACTTATCCCTATCATTGTGTTACAAAATCATAACCGATACAATATTTTTCAAGCTGGTCATAACACCAGTATAGATATCAAAGAAATTGAGAGAGAGGTGGGTTATCCATCCTTAAAGAATTCAATAGGAACTATTAAGAAATTTTCCTGTGTTTTTACCATAATTTTTTTATCAGCAAATATTATTAGGGCCCCTCAAGGAACGATTATGCCTTGATTTCAACTGGGATGTTTCATTTCTAACATTTTTTTATTAGCTTATTTTTTTGGCATGTAATTTAATTATCTCACATTTTTATCTTTTCTTACACCCTTTTGGGATAAGCTAAAATTCTTAAGTTAAATTAAATTTTTTGCACCCTGTAACAAGTGTACTCTTTTTTAGTGCGTCATTAGTGCAGTTGGGCGAAAAGAATAGATTTCAGTTTTATGCACATGACTAGTATGGTAGGCACGAACAATAAGTTAGTCATTTGATAGACTTGTGTTATGGACAGATTAAGGTATCATGGCCTATGTTATTTCAAAAATGATACCCCGTGTACTTATGATAAATAAGCATACTAGCATTTTGCAAGGAACAATACTTTGGGAAGTAACCAAAATTCGTCTGCAATTTCGTTCTTCCAACTGTTATACCATGTGCGTTTGTACTACTTAAAATTGGGAAGTAACCTTCTAGGTGTTTATATTCGGTGCATTGAAATGATAGGTGAAGAAGATGGTTCATGCTGAACAAGAGATAGTCTTCGTTGGTGGTTCACAAGCATTGCATCACCATGAAAAGTTAGCAATTGCTGTTCGGAAAGCACTAAGAGGTCATTCTCTCCATGAGACCAAGAATGACGGGAGGTTCCACGTACGTGCTCGGACATACTTAGATGGAGCTATTCTGAAAGATGTAAGTAGATTTACTTTATAGTTTTTCATTTACTCGCTGAAAACTGGTCAGCCAGATGGAGAATAATTCACTCCTAGTAATAAATCAATCGTCCTTTGTGATTATTGGCAAAGGTTCTGTCGCAGCTGTTGTCAATGTCTTTCTGTTTTTCAATGTTTATTGCAAGTTGCTACTATCCTGCAATTAGTGGTTATATTAACATAAAACTCTCTCCCTGAGAGTATTGTCTTTCGTATTTAGGCTCTGAGTGCTAGAGTTAAATATTAGCATGCAACACCCTTTCTCAGTGTGTCTAAACTCCCACCCGCAGGTATCCTGTCTCGCCAAAGCGGGCTGTTGAAGAAGTTGATTTGGCACGGTTGCTACTTAGCCATATCTTCATCCATACTCGCCCCCTCAAAGCATTTAGAGTAGGAATGAGAGACATTATCGTGTACAGATGTTTTCTTTACTGTCCTAGTGCTCTTTTCAAAAGTGTAGCCATAGATTTATCTTCCACCATAGGATGTACATATTTTACTAGAACCAAAATGAAATATTTCCAAGAGCTTGTATTGCCCCTTTTGTATTTACCTAGGATTTTGTCCGCATATGGGATTAATCTAGGTCCTCAGAAAAGAAACCAGACTGATAGAAAATAAAATTGAGGTTAATGATTATGTATCAATAGAAAACGCATGAAAAATCAAGTTAATGGTGGCTCCGTCGTCCGTTTTAACATGATAGATACACTCAGTTTGAAAAGATAACTATAAATAAAACCCCATGAAAATTCAATTTAATGTTATCTTCTCTGTCCATTGTATGTAGCCCGGTAGATACACTCAAAAGTAGGGATTATCATTCCTTCCCTGGGTTGAGTGAATCAGTAGAAGTGAACGATAAAATGGGCTAGAATTTTGTTTAAAGTCAACGTACAATAATTTTTGGACCATATATAGTCAGAGTCAACTAGTGATGCTGGCAGTGAAATGAGATCTGCAATATGAAGGCAAAAAAAAATTATTCAAAAGAAAAAAGAGCTCAACAGCATGGGTATGGATAACTCATTGGACAAGCTTGAGCACCACCACATCCGGCTAGTCCTCACCTCCAACTGATAGATTTAATGTGCAGAGAGCACGTGAATTTCTAGCTGGCGTGCTTAGTATGGATTAAAGAAAAAACGTAGCAGATCCTGCCATTTTGGATTTTGGTTTTCTGAATCCGTGGGTTGAACTTCATCCAATTCTTCTCCAGCCCATTGTTGATCGTCCATATTCCTCGTTTCTACTGAGACATATGGATGCACCTCTCGCATCTCTTTGAGTGACATCTTCTTACTGTTTGTTGATGAAAGTGTCGGCGACAATTTTTTAATATCTTCCAAAGATTTTCCACATCCAGAACCTTCATTTATGATGCGGCGCAATGTCTCCTTCCTGTCTTTGCCTTATTCTCGTTCCTTGAAGCGTTGACTTATTAAAATTATTTAACTAACATGTACAACAGGGTCCGTGAAGTCATCTATTATTATATCAGTTGTTCATGTCGTTCCATTGTTCGACTCTACCATCTCAATGTCAAACTTACTGCAATCATCAGCTATGATTCCGTAATCGGATTATGAAAAGATATGGGAAATCTGCCATGAATATGCGGAGATTTCCTTTCATCTGACCATTAGTTGCTCTAGGAAATGGAACGCTCGGCCGATGTGCTCGCGCATGGTTTACTCGAGGCCGCAGATCCTTCAGCCTCAAGCAAATATTTTCTCCGCCAGGTTTGTTTCTTTGCTGCGCGATGAACAACGAGCCCAGCTGCATTCCCCGAGAGGGCATTGCAACATGCGTTTTATTATATCCTTGTTTCTTCTTTTTTTTTGGCTTCAAATGCAGACATGGTTGGAGGACTCGGACAGCCCGAAGGACTCCATCATCGAGCATCGATCTCTTTGGGAAAGTTATTCGATGAGACTGGGTTCGAGTCAGAAAAAGGGGAAAAAGAAGAAGGGAAATCTCTACCGAACCTACGGGACTCGAGTAGTTCCTGTGTGAGCATGTTTCTCTCTCTACCCGTTCCATTTTAACACCTCTTTTCTGCTTACAGCTCGTCAAACTTTCTATTACTGGCTGTAGACAGAGTCCTGTCTTCTTGGGTGCTTTTTTTTTTTCTTTTTTGGGTAAAGCGACGGCACAGCCTGGAGAAGAAGCCTTCTCTGAGGAGCGAGCCTCTCATATTCTGGCATTTCATCCTAAAATCATAACCAGAAGCCTACTACTATTTTTGGAGTCTCTCTTTCATCCTCCTACCTATGAACACATCTTGGTTATTATTAGTTCACTCCGAGAGCCTTCTCCATCCCTTTTGAGGTCAACCCCACACTTGTCTATTGTTTGCGAGAAAAGCCTTCTTAAAGATCCCATGTTCCGGTATGTGGCATCCGCTCTCTGTGTGTGTTTTGCTGCGGCAAACCTCTTCATCCGAGCGTTGACTTGGTAGTGAAAGGGGGGGAGCATGCTGGGTTCTGACCTGGACTGGTGTCCTCACCAGGGTCAATTGGGCTGTTGTGACTACTCGCCGCATTTGCCGAAAATGTTTTTGGTTTGTGGCAGTGGGATTTGGGATATTTATCTGGTCGTTGTCTTTATGTCCCTTTGACCTTGCAGTTTTGTGCTGTCCTTGGCTGAAGTCGACGCCGAGCTCATGATGGAAGATGAAAGCCTCGTCTGGACAAGCAAGGATGTCGTCATTGTCCTCCAGCATGACAACGAAAATATACCTCTAAGGTAAGCGGCGCCAAAGATTTCCACCGAGGAAAGCTAGAAATCACAGTTTTGGCAAGTATGTTTGGCTTCCTCAGTCCTCACTAGTAGTTCCTTCATAGCCCACCTCCTAACCTTGCAGCGGCTGCATCTCTCTCTCTCTCTCTCTCTCTCTCCCTCTCTCTCTCTTTCTGTCTCTCTCTCTCTCTCGTTCTCTGTCTCTGTCTCTCTCTCTCTGTCTCTCTCTCTCTGTCTGTCTGTCTGTCTCTCTCTCTCTCTCTCTCTTTTATAATTTTGCACCGCCGTCTTCATAATGAACTCTGCAGCTACGTATCGGAAACCTCTCGGCGGTACGTGTCTCCGGCATCGGCGCAGCGGCACATCCTGGCGGGCCTGGCCTCCGCCGTGGGTGGCCTGAGCGCCCCCTACGAGAAGGCCTCCCACGTCCACGACCGCCCCATCCTCAACTGGCTCTGGGCCGCCGGCTGCCACCCCTTCGGCCCCTTCTCCAACTCCTCTCGCATCAGCCTCCTCCTCCAGGACGTCGCCCTCGTACACCCCCCACCCCCCCCCCATATCCTTCCTCCCTCACAATTCTTTCTCAACCCACTAATTCTATTTCGCAGAGGAACACGATATACGCCCGGGTGGACTCAGCCCTCCGGAAGATCCGGGAGACCTCGGAGGTGAGACCAACGTTCTTTGTTATTATTATTATTATTATTCTCCTCTTCTTCTTCGTCATCCCTCGGTCTGAGGTGGGTCTCTCCGCGTGTATTTCTGGTGCAGATGGTGCAGTCCTTTGCGGCGGAGCATCTGAAGACCCCGTTGGGGGAGCCGGTGAAGGGCCGTAAGAACAGGTCCGTCGCGGAGCTCTGGCTGGACAAGTTCTACAAGAAAGTGACCACCCTTCCCGAGCCCTTCCCCCACCAGCTCGTCGACACCCTCGAGCAGTACCTCGACGTACGTCCTTGTCTTCACCATCATCATCATCATGTCTTCTTCTTCTTCGTCCTCTGTATATTATGGTCTCTGAGAGATGATGATGATGATGATGATGATGGGTTGCAGAAGCTGGAGGAGCATCTGGTGGACCTGTCGGGGCTGCTGTACGACCACCACCTCGAGGAGGCCCACCACAACAGCTCCGATATCCTCCAGAGCACCATCTACACCCAGCAGTGAGTCTCTTCCCCCTTCATTCCCCTTCTTCGTCTCCTCCACCTTCACGAGTTGAGTTGACTTGAGGTGACGACTGAGAGTGGATTTGACAGGTACGTGGAGCGGGTGCTGGCGAGCGAGAGGGAGAAGATGAGATGCTGCAGGATCGAGTACAGGATGCCGGCCAAGGCCTCGCAGGGTTTGGTCTACGGGGGTATCCTTCTCGCCGGCTTCCTCGTCTACTTCCTCGTCATCTTCTTCTCCTCCCCCGTCCGCTAACCCTAAAAAATAAACAAGAAGGAAGATGAAAGTCTTTTCGCCTATCTGGTTCTCGTCGGTCGGGGTACTAACATTTTTCGAGCAAGTCACATCTTCATCGACATCATACAAGATCTTACAGAGGATTATGGATTCGGCATGGTTACTCGTTCCCAAGAATGCTTCGGGTTGACCCGTTGATCCATTCGATTCAACATACGTCAAACCATGCAAGTCCATCGATCGGTAGAGGTCAACCACCCTCAGTCTGTATAACCATAATATTTGACTTTATTTAATTTTATAATGAAACCTGAAAGTCAACCTCGAGATGTTCCGATCGCATAGACGACTCGGATTCCTGATCGGTTCAAAAGTGGCAACTTAATCGCTGAAGAAAACGAAATTCCAGATCGGATAAACGAGGGAGGCGGCGAGAGGATCGCGGAGCGGCGGTCAGACAATGCTTTTCAAGGCATATGCATTTCTCTCAGCGAGAAGGGATGAGCCATCCCTTCCATGCTTCGGAGCCCAGTGCATCTCATCACCCCGACGGAGGATCGGCAGAGAAGAGGGGAGGGGGGGTAAGAATGGATCAAACCTAGTTCGAGCTCAATGTATTGCACACCAATGGATGAATCGACGGCGGCGGATTCGTGACCTCCCGGAGACGAATCAAAACGCAGGAATCGCGGATCCAGTGCGTCCTCAGAAGAGGCCAAGGCGTCGAGCAGAGAAGAATCGCGCAGCAGAAATGGCGGATTCAGTGTGTGCGTCCTCAGAGGAATTGCTTGTTACTGTCGTCAGGGCAGCCGACCGAAAGAGGAGGCCGCCAAATCAGGTCTCAAAGATTTTTCGCCCATCACCGGACTCGGAGAACCAAAAACCTACCCTAGACCGGACACTATCCCTTCCCTTACAGCCTCCGCTCGTTCGGACCTCTGATTGCAGAGACGACGCGAACTCACCGAGACGGAATCGAACGAACAACAAAGAAGGAAACCTTCGTGGAAGAGGCAATCGATCGCCGCCTCCCGAGCACGGCCGCACTGGAAGAACCTAAATCCTAGTCGCAGCGGCCATGCCAGGCAGGGCGGAGATGGACATTACCTAAAACGGCGGAGATGGACATTACCGAAAACGGCGGAGACATCGAAGCCATCGACGGAGACGATAAGAACATGGAAAAGGCGAACGGAGCGACGATCATCGGTACCAGGAAGGAGAAGAGGCGGCGGCGCCGCTGAGTAATCCAGACTTTCTGGAGCTCAGGAGCTTTTTTTATAGAGTCTGCGAAGAGAAAGCCCTAATGATCCCCCTTCCTCACCGAGGTCGCCGGTGAGTGATGTACAATGCCATAAATACCCCTAACCCGGGCGAAGAACTTCGGGCGGCCCGCCTTCGGCAAAAATGCCGACATATATTTCAAATAAATAAATAAATTTTCGAAATGTAACGTGGAGCTTCAAGGTCCGTCCACCCGGAAAAATTACAGATTCCACGTAACAACCGTAAGAGAGTCTAGATGGAGCCTGCGTGGACGATCGTGGGACTCCCACGTGGCATGAAAAGATGAGGGCTCCTTTATTCGCGGCCCAGATAAGGATCGGGGAGATACGGCCTATTGAAAATATAATGGGCCCATCCGGATCATCGCCCCCAATAACTCTCTCTCTCTCTCTCCAGATAAGAATATCTGAAAAATCAGCACGTGTGGACAGCATCATAGATTTCCCTGGGAGCCTGTGCTCCACCATTCGATGCCACGTGGACGGATGCAACCGGCCACACAGATACTGTCGCCCCTCGCCACCACTTTAACCATTTATTTTAGCAGAATTTGAATAAAAATATATTAAAGAGGGAAACACGTAATTATCAGTAGTCACCGTTGACCGGAATTTGATGGCTGAGGTCATCCGGGACGTCCCAAGACTTCTGCTTCGAATCTTGCCCTCCAAGCCACCTCGCTTTCCTCCATCCACCCTAATATGATATCTTTCTCTCTCCCTCTTTACTCTATAAAATCCGGCCCCCGTTGCATTTGCAGACATTGCCGCGGAAGAGAGAGAGATGTGTCCTTCCAGAAGGTACGGAGGAGTGGGGGCGGGCAAGAAGAGAGAGGAGCCGTTGCGGCCGGCGTTCGAGGTCCTGGACATGGACGGCGACGGGAGGATCGGGAGAGACGACCTCAAGAAGTTTTACTTCGCCGCCAGCGAAGCGGCGGCGACGGCGACGGAGGAATGGGTCGAAGAGGAGGAGGTGATCATCCGCTCGATGATCGCCGCCGCTGACGCAGATCGCGATGGCTTCGTGGCATTCGAGGAGTTCGAGCGGGTGCTCCTGCGGCGCCGCCGCGGAGACGGTGGATACGGCGGCGGAGTGATGGAAGAGGCGTTCCGGGAGATGGATCGCGACGGCGACGGGAAGGTAGGGTTCGAGGACCTGCGGGGATTCATGGAAGGGGCGGGACTCGAGGCCTCCGATGACGAAATCTTGGCGATGATCGCCGTCGCGGGAAGAAGCGGTGGAGTTCGATTTGATGACCTGTTGAAGATCTTGGCCGTCGATCTCGCCTGAAGGGTCCTCCTCTTTGCCTCATTGGCAGCCACCGTAACTGCTTCTCTCTCTCTCTCTCTCTCTCTCTCTCTATCTATCTCTCTCTTCCGCTGCAATGTCTGCAAATGCAATAAACATGTATGAAGATAGGTTCACAGGCCCTGTCGGCGTACTCCCACCGAGCCACACCGATCCCACTACATTAAATATTAAATAATACAAACCATTAACCAAGATTTCGCCCAATAAAAATAAAAATAAAAATAAAAATCCAGATGATGGTGACAATGTATATACTGAATTTAGAGGCTACGACATACCTGGGTCCATCGAAATCGAAAATAATCATTTATATGGTTTTAACTATTATTATTTACACGTATTTTAGACACTCCCACGCTTAGTTTTATATTTTTTATGAATATATGTGGTTTTTAAAATATTACTTTATTTTACTATTTCCACATTCTTATGGGCCACTGGCATACCCCGATTAGCATGCGTGGACTAGGGTTATCGGCCCAATATTCAATGGGATGGGCCGGTGTAGTAAAGCCTACCCAGCCCATAAGACGGTTTGCAACTGTACTCTGATGGCCCAGTACACGGAAGCAAATTTATAGTTTAGTCCCTCTCGAATCAAATATTGTGCACATATACTCCCTCATTTAAATATAACAAAAATACACGATATCATTCATTTAGTCGCAATATTTGAAAAAAATAAAAAACTGGTCAACGTGGATGTGGGCCCTCTTGGAATGGCCGGGTAGAGGCCCACGTGGACTTCCTCTACAGTCCACGTGGTCGGGGGTAGTAATGGGCCGGGCCCACACCTTGCCATAAACCATCAGAAGCCCAATGCTCCTTAAGATGGGTCTGACCCGTAATTCGGTCAACTAATGCCAGTCGTACTCCGAGGTAGAGATATAGAGAGAGAGGGAGAGAGAGAGGGTAGGGGGGTTGACTATCGGGTGGTTGCGAGCGTGACTCGTATCGAAGCCCAGAGTTGACCGAGATGAGGAATCTTAATCACATTTTTGGAAGTAGACTTTTGACGGGTATATGATTAAATACGTGGAATAATTAATTTTTATCAAACGTGGTGAATTTGTTGGACGACTCAAAGGTGTTTATTTTATTGATTTTGGGTTGGAGCGAAAGGTAGTTGAAGACAGACATCCGTCCCACGTGCATCAATTAAAGAATTTTCGAGCGGTTGCGCGCCCACGTGTGCCGACAAAGAGCTCTCGGCCCGGTGTCGGAGCATCTTCAAGGATAAGGTCGTGCCGTGTGGGCCACCCTCGCCAAGTCAGCGCTCCCCGTCGGTCCTCGGTCCGCAGTTTGACCACCCATCAGGACCGTCCAATCTGTGGCATTGCCTCGGGGGACGGTAAGTGTGGGTACACGCGGTCGACGGCCATATTCAATGAAAACCCCCACATGATGATGATGATGATGATGATGATGATGATGATTCTACCAGCAAGGGCTTTAGTGGTTCCACCAGCAAGGCGTTGAAAATGTGTGGGGCCCACCTCTCCATGTGGGCGAATAATGAAATTATATTCAATAATATTGCTCACATGGCGCGCACAACTGGAAATTCGGCCGGGCCCCACCACCCGTATATATTGGGCAATTAACTTTTATTAACTTTTTTTGTATAATATTTAATTAATACGTATTTTACGATAGATAGAAGTGTCGGGGAAAGAGAGAGCGAGAGATGTAATTTATTCTCGCTGAATAAAAGCACTAGATTGTCCCCGCAGGGCCTAACACAGAGGAGAGAGAGAGAGAGAGAGAGGGTTTTTTTACAGAATTGCCCTGGTAGTTAGACGACAGGAGTGAGCCAGTGGATTTGACCCGAAACCCGGGATCCTGCCCGTAGTAGTTACCAAGATTTCAATTACCCTTTAGGGCGCACCGCCCGGTCAACGACCTTTTGTTTTGTCAACTGAATTGACAAAACACCCTTGGTACTCACCAGCTTCCACGCCCATTTTCTAGAGGGCAAAATGGTAAAACACTAGGCAATGCCTCCACCCTCAGCCTCTCTTTCAGGTGTGTCGTACCACAGACATTGTCCGCACATGTGAGGAAACGCCCGGGCCCACCACGGACGAGGAGACTCCATGATATGATGCCACGAATCCGCACCATTTATTATGAGAAATGTTATGTAACCCCGATAAAATAATTATCGGAGATTAAAAATTAAAAAAATCCGTTCTGAAATCGCGGTGATCGCCTGCTGCGCGTTGTCGGCGCAAGTTAGTGGAAATGCCTGACTGGATTGAGCTGGACGCGTGGCAGACTGAAGACGACGAGGGACGTGGGCACGTGGGCCAGCGAATGCAGCGTGCACAGGACCCACTGGGGGCGGGGGCGGGGGCGGGGACTTTTACAAATAAACCCCTATTGGACTCTCAAAGGGGCCCAGCAAGCCCGAAGCGCTAAACCCATAATTCTCAGGACCATTTATTAAATCCCTTTAATTAATTATTAAAATATTTTTTAGTGCCCATTGTGCATTAGAGGCACCATTCTGTATCTATCGAAATTACCCCCCGAGAAATTAGTGGTGGATTTTTAAAATAATAATATTTATTGTTATTTTTTTGTGTGTTTACCGTAGACAGCATGATACATAATTTAATCTATTTAATAATATTATTTACTGTTAAGTTATTTTTAATATTTTATTGTTGTCCCTGAACTAGAGCGGCGTGGAAAATCAATAAATATTTAAATAATTATAGGTATCGATAACATGTATACCAGCGTTGAGCATATCGAGAAGGGATTTATTTTATTTTTATTAGAAAGCAATATGTATGGAAGTGTCCCGGTGGGTGTTATGTGGGCCCCTTGTTTTTTTTGTCGTGTTCCGCCGTGAATTCAGATCCGACACAGTATCGGTCCGGCTCAGAGATATTCGCACCCGATAGTCTGTTTGACTCGTAAAAGGCACGCACGGAAATAGAGAGAGAGAGAGGTGTGCTAAGTATTACCACACCTTTATATATCTTGCCCCCGCACTCACATAACCACTCCCCTTCTGCGTCGCAGTGGCTCGCTTGCGTCTCCTCCCTCCGTCTTCCTGCCGTCCTCTTCAGCAGTTCCTCCGTCGTCTGCATCGGCCGGGGAGAGGGAACCGGCGGAAATCGGCGGCGGATAGAGAGGTGAGATTCCTGTGGAGGTTTTGGTTTTCTTGTTCTGTATTTTGTGTGTTTTCTTTGGATGAATGGTGGAAGGAAAGTCCTGTTCCTGTTATTTTGTGTTTCTCGATCTGTCCGATCTGCATCCTCCTCCGGTTATATATAGATTCCTTGTTCTGGTTTGAGATTTTGAGATGAAGAAGGATATTTTGTCTTGATTCTTTTCGTTACCTCTCTGTGATTAGCAACTTCGGCCGTGAGTTAAGTGCATTTGCTCCGTTGATGATCCTCCTCCGTTGTGCCTTACCTGATGACAATTATTTTTCGCCTTGTGGAGCCGTGTTCCTCCAGTTTTCTGGTCCAATCGCGGCGGAAATCATAGGCGGCTGTCCCCAAGGTCCGGGCGATCTGATGAATTCCTGTTCAATTTCGTTCTGCTGCAGAAGGAGGATCCCGGTTGTGGTCGATTGTGGCGACGATCGGGAAGATGGACGCGGAGGCCGCCAACCGCGGGACGGAGGATACGCACAAATCGGATGCCTGCGAGAGGGAAAGAAAACGGCGCCGGACGGACGCCCATCCGCAGTCGCTGCGGTGGAAGTCCCCCACAGAGCAGCAGAGCTACTCCTCGAAGCTGCTGGAAGCCCTCCACCACGTCCGCCGCACCTCCACGTCCTCGTCGGCCGCCAACGCCACTCCGAGGAGTCGCGCCGTCCGCGAGGCGGCGGACCGCGTCCTCGCCATCGCCGCGAAGGGGCGTACGCGGTGGAGCCGCGCTATCCTCTCCAAGTGCCGCACTCTCAAGCTGCGGAAGAAGCGGGTCGCCGTCGCCTTCGGCCACGGCCGCCATAGAAAACCGGGATTCTCAGCCCCCGCCGAAGCGAAGAACCCTCCGACCCTGGAGAGAAAGATGAAGACCCTCGGGAGGCTGGTTCCCGGCTGCCAGAAGCTCTCCTTTCCCTCCATCCTCGAGGAGGCCTCCGACTACATCGCCGCCCTCCAGATGCAGGTCCGTGCCATGAGCGCCCTCACCGAGATCCTCTCCTCCCTCGGCTCATCATCCCCATCCTCCAACCCCAACTCCTAGCCCGATCTCCCCCCTCCCATTCTCCTTCCCCGAGGGCCATCTTCTTCGTAAATCTGTGGATTCCTCCCCTTCCCTCCCCTTCCCTCCTTCCCTCCCTTCCTCCATTGGCTGACAAGCGACCGACCCCCCACCTCCTACCGGTAAAAGCCTGCCATGTCATGTGCGCCGTGGTGGAGGAAATCATTCCTCCACCATGGTCTCCCCTTGATTGTTATTATCATCATCATTATTAATTGCTCCCAATCTGATGAACTTAGACCTTAATTGATTATTTCCTCCGTCACATGCCCTTGCTCCTCCCCACCGCCGTCGCCGGTGGCCGCCTGCCGGCGCCGCCGCATCTCCTTCGGCTAATCCGATGATGCTGATGATGGTGACGGTGACGTGGAACCCACGTGGGAAGGGCGCCTCCCGTTATTTTTCAGATGGTTGGTGGGGCACGACGGCATTGGCGGCTGTATTAATTCAGGCGTACTTTCCGCCTCCCTGGTGGAATCCCCACTCGATGGGCCCCATTGACGGACGGGCCACGATGCCTTCGGCCCCGTCAGCCCATCTCGCCACGTGTTTGCGCTTACCTGTCCCACGTGTTATCCTCGAGACTGTGGGGCTCATTCTCTTTCCCAATCGCGCTTATCGGAACCTATCGGTCTTGCTTGGCCCGTTTGTTTATCGGATCTCAGCTTCCTTGCCGTCGCCGCCATGCCTGTAAAAGGAGCCCGAAACCTTCCCGAGTTTGGTGGCATTCATAGTATTAAAAATATGCTCATTTATTTTTTTCTAAAATAACAATTTTCCCAGTAGAGAAAATATATTATTATTAAGCATATATCTATTTATTTCTCTCTCTCTCTGCTCTCTAGAAGGGATTTCATGGGGACATGGCGCCTCGCAAGTCGAGAGGTGTTGGTCCATATGTTGACCGAGGGTGGAGCCCACACACACACATAGGGAAATGACAAATAAGCCCTCCAACTAACTTCCCATTTTTATTAAAGTTTAATAATAGCCATGTCCCCCTAACCGTACTCTCTTTTTTTTTTTAATGGAAGGGCCTTTCTATAATTAAAATATCTCATTAGGCCACCCCAAATCTCAGACAACGTACGTGGCGGTTTGTTTCAAAAAAGCCCTCCCTACCCTCCCCCGTTATTTATTATTATTAGCTCATAACATGGATACGTTGTGCATGAAAGATATAGCTTCCTACTTAGAGAAGAATCATAGTATTTCCTTTGGAATAATTTCTCTTACTATTCTACCCATTTCATTCATAATTCAGATTTTTTTCTTGTACAAATGCTTTATTTTTACACAGAGAAAAACTATTGTATCACAAAAAACAAGTGTTTAACTTTATGGGGATATTTATGTACTTTTATTTATTCTAGCCCAAAATCAGGAACGTGGCAAGTAGATTGAATATTTTAAAAAATAAAATAAAAGCTTCCTCTCTAGCTCTCCGTGTTTTAGTTATTATTTATTAAAAAAGTAGATAATGAGAGTGCGGAAAAAAAATTGTTTATTAAAAAGGTATTGGTTATATGAAATAGCCACCATATTACCTAAAAAATGGTAAATTTCTATTCTTTTTATGGTTTATTTATCGAGAGAAAAAATTCAACTTTAAGATTAAAAAAATGAGGAATATTTTACCTACGTTTAGTGTGTTGCTTCATATGGAGAGAGGATACACGTGTAAAACAATCCTGATAATACGGATTAAAAGAAAAAAAACAAGCCGGAGGGCCTCGCCGCCACCCCTGGGCGGAGAACAGTGCAAAGACTGGGGCGGCGCTGCGGCGGGTCACATGGCGGGCACTGCGATCGAGAGCGGCCCACCGCCGCTCCGCCGCTGCCCCGCGACAAGGCAGGCGGCGGCGGCTTGTCTGAGGAAGAAGCGACCGGCAGCGGCGGCCACCGGCGGGGTCCCCGGAGAAAGCGGCCTCTCATGGTCCCCCACCACCTCCCTCAACAGGAAGGGAAACAGGTCAGTTTGTTCTGCCTCGTCTTCTTCTTCTTCTTCCTCCTCCTCCTCCGTCTGCCTCAAGCTCTCCATGCCTCTCTGGAACTCTCGCCGGCGGGCCATCGCTTCTGGTTGTCCGTGCTTCAGAGCTCGCCGCAGGACCACCCTGCGCCTGCCCCTCCCCCCGTAGCTGCTGCTTGGAGGGAGTTATTAATGGCGGAGAAGACGGGTGGAGAGTAGGGAGGAGAGAGATGGGGAAGAAGACGAAAGGATGAGGAAGAGGGCGGTGAAGAAGAAGATGGACGGAGGAAGAGAGGAAGGGAATGAACAGACGTAATTGATGGCATTCGATCTGTAGGCCGTCGACAAGGTTTCACATGGTATGATTTTAATGGAACTGGACATCATGAAGCTCTCTCTCTCTCTCTCTCTCTCTCTCTCTCTTTCCTCTCTGTCTCTGCTGGGAGAGGAGAGGATGACCCCACGCCACGTGAACTCGTTTGGAGCCGACTTCGGAGAGCCTGGCCTCCAAGCCGGCCAAACTCTCTCTCTTCCATAAAAAAGGAGGAGATTCTCGTACGAGCTCCAAGCCTCCAAGATCGTGGGTTTTTTCTGGTGATATCGATTTTTTTTAGAGTTTACTGTCCGAAGCAAGATTCCATGTTGAGATCACTAGGTGCCACGGTTTGAGACTCTGTCTGACTGCCTGTTTCTCCCTCCCTCTCTCTCTCTCTCTCTCTCTCGCTCGCTTCCGCGTGGGGGAAATCAGAAGGGCGAGGCCATCATTAGGAATATGGAGATTCCTAATGACGTGATTACGACCCATCATAAGCAGTCGAGGGATCCAAAGGAGAGGAAAGGAGATCAATGAAAGACAGGCAGATAGATAGATAGAGAGAGAGAGAGAGAGATGAATAGATAGAAAGAGAGAGGTGGGTACATAGCTAGTAAGGTGAATAGATAACGGGAGAGAGAGAGAGGTGTGCAGATAGAGAGCGAAGTGAATAGATAGCGAGAGTTAGAGAAAGAGAGGTGAATAGATACAAAGAGTCACAGAAAGAGAGAGGCGGATACATAGAGAGTGAGGTGAATCGATAGAAAGGCCGACAGAAAGAGAGATGAATAGATAGAAAGATAGAGGGAGAGAAAGAGATAGACGGATGATACATCTAGTGTGAGGTGAATAGATTGCGAGAGAGAGAGAGAGAGAGAGAGATGAACAGATAAAAAGACAGAGAGACAGAAAGTCAGAGATCGATACATCAAGAGTGAGGTGAATAGATAGCGAGAGAGACACATGAATAGATAAAGACAGAGCCAGAAAGAGAGAGATTGGTACATTGAGAGTGAAGATCATAGATAGTAAGTGAGTGAATGAGTGAGTGAGAGAGAGAGAAAGAGAGAGAAAGAGAGAGAGAGAGAGATGGGCTTGTAGCACTAGCTCTAGCAGTAGTAGGTCGGGAGCCAACTGTAGTTTGAGATGACTCGAGAGCATGTGCGATAACCCAGGAGAACACGCCACCATGCTCCCGCCCCCCTCCGCCCTTCCCGGAACCATCCCCCGGGGGGCTCCACACACGCGCCCCCCGCCCCCGCCGGCGGTTCGGCCGAAGACGGCGGCGGCCGCAACGGCGGCGCCGACAGAGCTCAGCCGGAGAGACGCCGGCCAAGTTCGCACCTCGCCGGTGAGACGCCGGACGAAAGCAGTTCACCACTTAATATCATGCAGCGCCGCCGGCGCCGCGGTCAACCTTCTAGCGGCCCAGGCCATTTGTGCCCAAATTATCTACCGAAATCTTCAAAAAACCCAAGAAGCCGTCGGACTTTTTGGTAATTTGCGAAAATATTAAAAAAACCCAAGATTATCTACCAAAATCTTCAAGAAGCCGTTAAAAAACAATTACTGAAATTAAAATAAATTTTAGTAATTGCGAAAAATATTTTTATTGTTTTCTCTTCCCTGGCAAAGGAACAGACAGCATCGGTTCGCTCATCTTCGGTGTTGCCATTTTTGGGCCCGTTGACAACTGCAATGAGGCCCATTTGGCATCCACCCTGGGCCCATTAGGTCTTTTTCTGACACCATATTAACAAATAATTTCAAGTCGCCTATGAAAAATAATTGCTCGACTCCTCTCTCACATTTTCGCTCTAAAATTAAATGATTTTTTTAATTTTATTTTTTATAGTAATATAAAAAATATACTTGAGTCCCCATCTGCATAGAGTCTATATATGCATACATATATATATATATATATATATATATACATATATTTATATGTATGTGTACCCGGTTTTGGAGGATCGAAGTGGGCAGGAGGCAAGAATGTTGGCATCGATAATATGTTCTTCGTTTTGCAGTAATCAAGCGAGGTGAGAAAAAGTTGGTATGGGAGCTCTGTTTTGACTTTTTTTCTTTTTCTTCTCGGTGGTATTTCGAAACTTTGGATCTGTGAGAAAATGGTGCCCGTTGACTTTGCGATGAGAACACTCGGATCCTCTGGTTTTTATCTCCCCACGAACCATCTGATGCGATTTCAGGAACTCTCCCAACACATCTACTCTCATCATGACAAAATTCAAGATTTTGTCCCCACCATGCGATCTCCGGACGGCTCCTTCTCTACTTTTGAATCTTTTCTCACGCAGATTCCTGAAAAATAGGAGCTTTTTTCCAAGCAATATGGGCATCTAGATGGGGAATCGATGCTCATTATAGCTTTATTTTGCAGGGATTTCCAAATGGACGTGGGCTCCTGATCGTGATCTTACTGGATGTGAGCTCCATTGACGGCTATATTTCTGCATGTATCAGCAGATACTCAAGAGGGTATTAGATTGACCTGCAAGATTCAGCTGGCTTCCTTCCTGCAACAGCTCCATCACTAGTCAACCAAGCTCGACACACAAAAAAGTCCACCCTTCTTGCTCCTCCACACCAGAGCAGACGACACCACACCCACAAACGGAGAAAAAAAATAAAAACCAGGTCTTTCCAAATTTCCAAACCCTGCTGCCCAACTTGGGAAGG